GCCGGAGGGGCTCCATACGAACGGACCCCGGCGCCATACGCCGAGTACGCTGAGTACGCCGGGTACGCACCATACGCGTACGTTTGGGAGTGTGCCGCAGGCGGCTCCGGACGTGGCAACAAAGCCTCGATCCGTCGGATCATGCGAAAGGCCTCGTCCAGATCGGACGAAGAGGCCCGGCGATCCACCCGCAGGTGCAGGCTCGCGACCTCTCGCTCCAGCAGGTCCAGGCGGCCCGCAAGACGAGCGAGCTCGCCCTGATTCCCGGCCTGGGCGGCAGCATTACCGCCAGTCACAAGTGCAATCTCAAGCACGAGGGGAGGCGGTCAACCTCAGGGTCCTGTGTCGGACCCGCAGTCGGAGCACTCGGACGAGAGTGGCTCTCGGGAGGTGCCGAGTACTCGTACTCGTACGAGGGCACCTCCGCCCCTGCTTGACCGGAATGGAGAAGTCCACTTCCACGTGGAGCGGATCCTCCAGGAGCAACGGGTGTCGCGGTAAGCGACAGCTTCTCGTGAAGTGGAGGGGTTATGCCCACTCCGAGAACTCGTGGGAGCCGATTGAACGACTCCTGATTGACTGCCCGAAGGCTGTCGCGATCTGGGAACAGAAGCGGCGGCAGCTTCATAAGTAGTCCGGGGCTTCTTGCCCGAACGGGGTACGGACGATGAATACATACCGTACCCGCGCTCATCGTGAGCGCTAGAAGCCGCGCGCTTCAGGATGTCCCTTGGCAGCATACGCTTGCTGATCAAGTGGGCAAACCTCACACGAAGGTCACGCTGGTCCAGGATGCGGGACAGCAGCTGATCTTCATGGAGTTCCCGTAACTCCGTGGGTGAGTACTTAAGAGTCTCCACCCACGCCCAGAACATGTCCTCACAAGAACTCCACGTGGGACAGTTCTCGGGCATAGCCCAGGGGTATCCCCAAAGAGGATAGAGACCACCCCGGGTCTCGGGCTTCTTACGACAAGTCGTGAAGTCCTTAAGGGGAATGCGGTGTGGCACGAGAAGCACACACCGAGCAACCTCCAAGTTGTCGACGAACAACTGTTCTTTCTGAACAAGGGCTCGTTCATAGATGCCCCTAGAAGTGTGGCCGCCCACAAGGCCACGAGGAGCGACGAGAAGCTCTAAGAAGAGGTCAGCCCCAGAGCTCTCCTCGGGAGGCCAATACCCTCTTGAGTTGATGGCAGCTCCCTGGCTGACGGGTGCCACCACAGACCCCCCACGCACACGCTGGGCAGCTTGGACCTCCTCCTGCTGCTGGTCGAGGTCATTCGAGACCTCCCGGGGCTCAACGATAGCACCCTCCTCTTCCTCTTCTTCCTACTTCTCCTCCTCTTCATCCGAGGAGTCGAAGATACTCCGATAGGAGCGACGAGTCTCCTTCTCCTCGCGGAGTGTAGACTTAGAGGCTGTACGCTTCTTTGAGGGCTTGGCGCCTTCGGCTTTAGAGGCCTTAGCACGCGCAAGACCCTCGGCAAGCGAGAGACGTTTGCAAGAATTCTCTTCCTCATCGCCACCGGCTGTGGGAGCGCCCTTAGCCTTGACGGCCGGACTCTCAGAGCGCACAGAGGTCCTGGGACTGTGATAACCTTGATCACTAGCGAGCGACTGCACGCTGTCATCTTTGTGCTCACTGGGTACTGGGCTGTGCCCTCCCACAGAGTCCGCAGGAGCATCGTGAGTGCTCTCGGACTCGGCATCGTCCTCACTGCCCGAGTTGAGCTCACGTTCTACGAACCGAGGGTTCGGACGATTGTCTGAAGATGAGGGCAACGGACTGCGGCGCTTGCTTGCGCGCTTGTCCACAGCCGCGTCACCCGAGGAATCGATCGCCTCGGAGGCCACCTAAGTAGCCTCCTTGAGTGCAGAGCCTTTGCCGTGAGGCTTAGTGCTCTTGGCCTGCGCCTTACCGGCAGCGGCCTTGGAGCGTGTCTTAGCACCGCTCTTTGCAGTGCCACGAGGCATGATAACGGTCGAAGTGGGGACCTAGACGAAGAGCGCACAGGTTGCTGCTCGAGGCTCTAACTGTGAAGTGAGCCTCCGCCGCGCTCGCGCGGCCAAGTCGATGGTTTTCGACTTTGAGAATGAGAGTTTGTGACGAACACCTCTTCATTCTGATTGGTCGGTAAACCGAACCTAAGTGGGGGAGGATGTAACGGGGTACGTAGCCCTAAGTGTACCCTGGTTACATGAAGTGTGACACTTTACACTTCAGGAGTATGACACGTCATACTCCGGGATATTTGGTACAAGGTACCAAGGTCGTTCAAAGCCAACCATTGGTTAAACGACATTGCATTTCTATAGGTAACTTATAGTTTGTATTAAACCCAAGCTTAACCTACCTATAAATATACTCAGTTTACAATCTACCTTATTTAGGTCACTTCGTTCTCCTTAATTAAAGAGGGGACATGTGAACTGCCGTTCACTGAGAGTTTGTATACTCTCGGAAGATAACTTCCTCTAGCGCAAGGTGCTGTGTGACCCCGTCACAAGGGTTGATGACAATTGGGTCGTAGCTCTGCGGTGCGTAAGAGGCTTTAATGCCTTCATTATTGATGCAAGGTTTGCCGTTTTAAGGTATCGCTAGTCAAATTTCTACTAACGGATAATGCCAATGCGCTCCTTCCACTTTAAGCAAAAGAGCTCGCCGTAAACGTCGTGTCGCGCCACATGCCAATCTCCAAATCTTGGAGAAAACCCAGCTGCTGCCACCGAGCGCTCAACGACGTCAGCTGGAACATCGCGCCAAGCGACGTTCACCCAGTTCGCCACGGTCTCAACCGATTGTGGCTTCGGATTTCCTCCGCGAGTGTAGAGCACAGCATCAGACTTCTTCGAGCTGTCAATGATGGGCGACAGCTCGTCCTTAAACGACTTGTAGATCCCGATATCTCCCGTTTGCACGTAGGGTGTCAGTCCTCCTGGGATGACAAACATCTGCACCCCTTTCGCGGCGCACCGAGCTTTCACCATCTTACTGATGTATGCACACATGCTGTCCCAGATCAGCGCTTTTCCTTGTGTGCACGTGTCGAAAATGGGCGGAAACACCAGATCCAGCCAACGAGTGAGAAGCGCCGAGTCGACCCATGCCTTGGGTTGGTTTACGACGTAGACGTTGACTTAGCGCTCAATCTTGCCATCCTGCTTGGCCCCTTTCCAAACACCCAGCGGGGGCAGCTTGCGGCCGGTTGCCGTGACGGCCAGCACAGCCGTCATCCGCATTGAAGCAAATCCCGTAGACTTTAGCACGACGTGGCGAGCTCCAACTTGGTCCACCGTCTGGCGGCGCGGGTCCTCGTAGTAGACTGCCGTCTCGTCCATCAGGATGGTGTGATCGTCGCTAAGCCCATCAATGCGTGACGTGAGATGGCTTAGAAAGCTTACCACCCGGTCGGTCAACACGTCATCGGTTAGCACGGTAAGATGGTGATGCGGCGCAGCGACAGACCATACCGACGCATGAAGCCGTTGACCCAGCGGTCCGACGCAACGAAATTTGTACCCCCCAGCTCAGATGCGGCAAGCCGCTGCCCAGCGTCGCGAATCCAATCACGAGAGACTTTCTCTTTTGCAGACCGGCGAAACAGCACTTGATCGAACAGGATATCCTCGATCTCGGAGAGCCGTGGCTCAGCGCTTGCCCCAGTCAGGCGGTTGCGTAGCGCTGGCGCGGCCTTGATAGCGGTGCGCTGCTTCCACCAGTACTGCACCTGAGTTTCGGAAACCTTCCAGCCGCGCTCGTTCTTGAAGTAAACAGCGGCTGGGGTGGGCACACCGCCGTTTTTCTCGATCCACTGAACGACCTCTTTCTTCTCGGCCATTGACTTGGGCATCATCTTCACTGGGAGTGGTTTGGCTGCTGGGGGCTTGTAGGGACTGGTAAAACTAAGAATAAAGAGAGCCGACCAGGAAAATTGGTTGTTCTGGTCATTGGTGGCTGGTGGTGATGGTATTATATTTGGTACGGTACACTATTATTTGAGTACCGCCAAAACGGTACACAATTTGGTCTAGGTATACTATTTGTAAAAGTACTCTATTCGGCATTATCCGCTAGTTGCGTGTATAATAAAACTGTCAGCGTGTTTTGCCAGTCTTGCGCTCTGATGTAGTAATTGTTGTTTCAGCCCTTTCGAGGTTTTAAAATTTCCAAATATTCTTTGAGCTGGTGATGAATGGTCTTCTGTTTACAGTTCATGCAACGATAAGTTACCCTAACCACATCGAGATAGCGTTGCAATAGTAGGCATACAAATTTTAGTTTACAAATCATTGTTCATTTAGATTCAGGATCATTACATCCGGCAGTTTATCAAAGGTCCGAAGGCGCAAAAACGGGGCGCAGTACTGTATAGCTTTTATACTAACATGTCAGTGTCCTATCTCCCACTGCAATAATACTATCGAAATATGTTGTCAAAGAGAACCTGCGCCCTCACTTTCTTGGTGCCAACTTGTAGGATCACTGCTCACCGTCAGGGACGCCTTCGATGAGAATGCCACCTTCCGTAACCAAGATTCGAGCTGCCATATTGGCGCCGGTGATTCAGAGTCCCCAATCTCTGGATGTGATCGAGCAATCGAACAGAGCGCTGTTTACCGCCACGGCACAGGCGCTGGGGCTACAAGTAAGTTGACCTGTTCAGAATGCCATCTCTTCCGGTAATGTCTAAAGTTTTCGTAGTGTATTTCTAACTTTAGGTGTTGAAGAAGGCAGGAAAGTCTGGTACGACATCAGCACACTCCCATCGGGTACTACAGACGGCAACAGCTACAAGTCATGTACCACGAAGACCGGCAAATACGGTTCCAACGTTGGGGAAACGATCGAACCGATTTCTCCGTATGACGACACAACCTTCGCCTGCTGCTCGCTCTTGTGCAGTACGGAGAGTGTCCAGACTCCTTCCGCTTTCCTTCGGACGAGAGTAAGATCAAGAATTCCCAGAGCACCAACTTCTAGTCCAGTTTCCACCTCTTTTACTTCATCAGTTCTTGTTCAAATTCAAGATCTCGCACTGTCAAGGTGTACTTTGGCTTCTTCTCGCTCTCACCCGTGGACACGGTAGCCTCATCAGAGTTGCTCGCACTGTCCATCTTCGTCTCCATGGTCACTTTCATGATCATCTCCTCGATGATACCAGGCGTTGCCTCTCGCGGAACTGCATGTCCACACACTTGCAGTATCGCTTGCCCTGGACGAAGTAGACCCGTTTTCTCTGCTGGGCCCGGGCTGGAGATGAACGCTCGAATGTATATCGCTTCGTCCTTCCAGTTTCCAAACAATATTCCCAGCGGAGCCTTCGGAAATAAAACTTCCTTCGTTGGAATTGTTGACAGGATGTCGACAACGCCATCCTCACTTGTGGTTGCGTCGATGGTTTGCTCAATGTCCTCGCTTTCGCTCTCAGACTCAGCTTGCCCCTTCTCTTTCTCATTAACCTTGACCGAGTTGACGTCACCTTTGCTGTCTGAGAGCCGTCGTTGCCTGAGCTGTGTGCATCTGGCAATATAATGCTCCCGACTCATAAACACCGCCCTCATCGGTTCCTTTAGGCTGGCAATATCACGCAGAGTCTCCATAATATTCGCAAAGTTGGCGTAAGCTGGACCAGTTAGCGCGGTGTCGTTAACTTGCAGCAGCACATCGCCCTTCTCCACTAGATGAGTCCGCTGCGCGTAGGACGGGACACGTGCAAAAGCTGACAGCACCACGTATTTCCTGCCAGTCGACGGCGGGTCGTCTTCGTCGCAAGCAAAGGAAGCTGCGTCCTCTATCTCGATCATAGGAGGCCAGTCGCGCAGCTTTATGATAGCATCGGGACTCGGGGCAAACTGCATCGTCACAGGTCGACTCTTGAGGTCGCGAAGAGCGGCCAGCACTTCTGATAGCGTCTTGAAGCGCAGATCTTCGTTGTTAACCTTCGTCAGGAGTTGCCCAACTCGAATCTTGCCGCTGAGTTCCGCTGGACACTTCTTACCATTTTTTACCGGAGTGAACCCCACAACTATTACGCCACAAGACGCCAGAGGACGAGCTCGCAGACGTAAGCCAAAAGGACCGTCCTGACGAAACGTAAAGGTGGTAAGTTCAGGCTGAGGCCTCATCTGCTGTCGTCGGTTTTTGGCTGGATCTTCTGGGAGTAAGGAGAAGCGCATTGTGAGCGGAATAGAAAGGGTTTCCAGAAGGCCTCTCAGTTCCTCCAGCGTCACTTTACTGCAGCACAAACCATTGATCGCCAGGATACTGCTGCCCACGGGTATGCGCTTGAGGTCACCATTCAAATGAAAATCATGATGGTCGTCTGCTGACTCATTCTGGTTGAAGGTCGACGCGTCAACGTCAAGAATGCGCGATACGACCACGTACTTGTTCAATACACCCTTTGAGAACGTAAATGGAATCGAGTTGCGCTCTGTGAAGGTGCATTCGATCTCTTGCGGCTGAATCTCAACCTCCTTTGCCCCACGCCACGGACTCGCAGTGGGCAAATCTTCCATTCGGATGTCCAAGAGCTGGAAGATCAGCGGCCAGTACTCATCCATTTGCTTGTTCAGCGTGCCCAGGAGCTTAATCATATGTTTCAGCAGCTTCGTTTCCATCGTCTTGGCCAGATACTCGCGAATCAGCTCAGCAAACAGCGACGTTAGCATATTGTAGACTGCACTAAACCAACTGCCTTGCACAGTGAGCTTTAGTTCTTGACGAATCTCAATCGTCATCGAGTTCAACACCAATACTGGCTTAAACTCCCCTGTCTTCTGGCTCACAACTTTCTTTTCGGCTTTAAAGCCAAGAGAAATAACGCCACCGCTAAGCGCAGCGTCCGCTACTCCGCCCCCGTGTAGATACGGGAAGTATTTCTGCTCAAAAGTCCAGTCAAACCCCTTTAGTAACGCTGTCAAATGCGTCGCTCTAACCGTGAACAATTCTTCGTCGACTACCGTTCCCATTCGCACTTTGACGCGTTCCTTCTTGACACGGAAATTCGATAAATCCAGGTTGGAAATTGAGTACGCGATGTCGTCTTCTACGCCCGAAATCGTGTCAATCTTCAAGGTTGGCAGCACGGACGTGAGGAAATCCAAACAGTGATCTTTCATCCGGTCCACAAATTCCTGGCGTTTCTCGCGGTTCTTGGACATTGTGCTCCCCCATGCTGCCAATTTGTCAAGCTTGACTTCGGCAATTGCCTTCGTCACATTATCGCAAAACTCGTCTGGATTTTCAACGGACTGGACCAGCGCCTTGGCCTTTTTCATCAACGTCTGACCGTGTGTTGTTTGCTGTATCTGCAGCCAGTACTTTTCAGAGGCATGGACGAAAACTTCGGCCTTTGAAGACAACTTGGGTAGCAATTCCTCGGCTTTTTGCGCCAGTGCGCTTGGATCCAACTCAGTCATCGAGTTCACGCCCAACTTCCTGCTCGCCATATGTTCGAGACGGGCAATTGTTTCTTGAGCTTTCATCAAGTCACTTTCGTGCTGCTGCATCTTGGCCAGAATTTCGGACTGCAACGTCTGGTGCTCCAGCGACGCCTTTAGAGCCTCCAAGTGAGGCTTTTCTGCGTTCATTTTGCTCTCCAAGACCTGTAAAACCTCCGACAGAACAATCTTTTTCTCTTCCTGTGATGATGTCACCTGCTGCGACTCACTACCCCGAGAGAGGAGTCTCTGTCGCGCTGAAGTGAACTCAGCGTTGGCCTTTTCCCGAAGACTCGACTGGAGATTCTTGACCTCTTCGCTATTCTTCAACTGGCTCAAAACATTCACAGCCTTTGCTAAAAATGCAGCAGAGTCCCTCCCATCGAGCAGATCGCTCTCCAGCATCGATTTCGCTGACGTTGCCAGCTCCTTTAAGCGCGTTAGCTCCTTCCCACTGGCATCCTTCAAGCGCTTCGTTGCGTCTGAAAAGCTGGGGTCGAGTAGCGATGCCAGCGCTCGCGTGTACTGGTCTCCGTAAGACGCGTTTGTAGAGATGAAAGAAATGGCCTCTGCGTGCTGCTCGCAGAAGACTTGAAGCTGCTCGTACGTCTGCTTTGCCCTGAGACTCAACACCATCGCGTCGTCCCATGTGACCCGTCCCTGGAATTCTTCATAAATCCTCTCAGCCGAGAGAGGCCTGGGGACTTTTGCTAGCAGTCTCAGGTCGACGCATGAGACGTCCTTGGCTTGGAAATAGCCGACGCTGCCACGGTCCAATCGCACCGCGTACGAATTGTTGGAGCTCCTATAGTCCGTGATGGTTCCCAACCCGAAACTTGTCCGGACGCGGGTCTCCTTGGCCAGTCGAAGCTCCGCTTTCTGTCAGGGGAAGACACACAACAGCAACGTCATTACCACAAGTCACTACCGAAGATTGCAGTGGACAAGACCGACGTACCGGCAGCAGCTTTGTCAGCTCTACAGTTTCCTCCTTGTCCTCAGTCTCGGTTCCTCCAATCCGCACCTCGTACTTCTGGTCTGGCACGCTGTAAGCCAATGACAGTCGTTAGGTCAGAGCAGAAAAACAACAGTCCGACAACGTAAGTCTCACGTGTAGTTGAGCACGACGCCCTCCCGCGGCTCCTTTGTTGCCATGACAATCACTCTCGTATGTCTTGGGATCTCTCCGCACTGTAGCATGTGCAGCTCTGGCACCAAGCAGCCTCTCTGAATTCAGAGCAAAGAAGGTTTAATCATACTATAGCAAGTGATTGAGTGGTTTTTGAGATGGGGGGCACATACTCTCGCGTACAGCACGGCGTCCCCCGCCAGCACCACCTCCACGTGCGTCTTGCGGTCACTACAACTGCGTACACGCCCAGGCCCAAACGGCGTCTTGACGTCATCCCCAGCGCGGTAGCGAACAGCCATCGCGAAAAGCGGCGGCACCTCTTCGCTTCCCATGGTCGTCCGCTGGATACCGGTATGCCAAGCTTCAATACGTCGCATCAGCGTCAAATCATCTCTATTCGTATTGTAAATTTGCATCGTTTTATGTAGATTTGCATCATTTTGTGCATTGTTTACTCTACCTCCCAAGGAATGCATCTAACGGCCCCTTCTTCTTCTTCTTCTTCTGCCTCGCTACTGCCGCACTCGCCATCACCTCGTTGCGCTGCGTCTGACTGATTTTCAGCGCGAAGTGGAAGTCGGCGTGCTCGGCTCGAGGCTCCGACACGACGCACCTACACTCCTCGCAGAAGCGATCGAACGCAGGACCAGCTTCTACTTGGGTGCTGCGAGTTGAAGGTGCCTCGATGCCACTGTCCGAGTGGGTAGTTGCAGACATGGACGGAGTGATATTTGCCTCCGTGTCGTTGCCATTGAAGCTGCTGGTTGGCGGCCCGAAGAACGTTAATATCTTCTGTCTGCTGCTCTTCCGCGTCGGTGATCTGTCCCTGTCCCGTTTGGTTGCGAACTGCTTGATTTCCTCCTCCATGCGCTGGGCTGCCAGATCTGCCGGCGCCGCTTGACCAGCATCTCGCGTGAAGAAGCTCGATATGGTGGCCACAGCTTGTGAGTCAAGCTCGTGGAAGTTCTTGGCGTTCATGATCAGTGTCGCCATGGGGAACATGCTGCCCACGTGTAGTCTCATCACGTTCATTGCTGCAGTATACAGCTCGTCCACCGTCGTGTCCTGCCCGATTCCTAACTTGTACGAACGCGGTTTCTCTCCAGGCTTAGCACGAATGAACTGGATCGACAGCTGTGACGGAAAGCGCTTGTTCTCGATACGCTCGTCCTCGCAACGAATGACCACCTCCTCGCATAGCAGACGCACCCCAGTACTCGAGCTGCTCCACAACGTACCAGCGCCGACCCCAGAGCGCTGATCGAACTCGCTTGACGCAGCTGAACATTTTCACTTGAACCTTCTTCTCTTCCACCGGTTCATTGTCGTCGCTGCCCTGGCAAATGCTGTGAACGTACGCAGCTGTTTCTTGTCCTACATGTTTAGCCAACTCTATCAGTCCGCAGCGCTGCAGGAAAGTGTGCGCTGACAGCTTTTTGAACGACTCTCCGGCAGCTTCTTTAAGTGTTTCCCCCTGGTGATCTGGGTCTGAGGCCCCAGATCCCTCAGAATCGAGTCTTGAATAAATACTCTCAAGCTGCTTGCCAAGTTTACCGCCAAGTCCTCGAATCTTTCGCATCGGCAAACTTTTCATGAGGTCAATGACAAACCGAGACGCCACCACGACTTGACCATTAGGCTTGTTGAGTGGAGACGCCAGCTTGGCAAGGAGCTTGTTACCTGCAATACCTGTTGAGCAAGTGTAGCCAAGCTTATTGTAGATTGCCTGGCGGATTTCTCGAGAGATCACAGCACCAATGCACAATAGTCGCTCATTATCCGTCAAAGGGAACGCCTGCAAACTGTCGTGCTTGTCGGTTGCATCTTCATCTTTCCGATCAATGCCAAACACTTTCGTGTCGTGATTGGCAGGGTCCTGACAGAAATCTGACGAAAATGTAGCCTGCATTCGGTAGAGAAGCCCATGAGTTAGAGCAACTTTGGCACTCGCAGTAATTGCTTTCACACACCGTCTGTGCGATTCTCTCCTTGGCCATATCGGTGACGTCCATGAACGCCTCATCGATGCTTGCCTTCTCGATGATCGGCACCATGGAGCCAAGAATAGCAAAGATATCGCGACTTGCGATGCGATACCTCCGCAGGATGGCCTTTTGATGCGTGCGGTCGAAAAGCTGTCCTGGCTTGCAGTTCTTACCCAGCGTATCTACATGCGGCTGCAACAATATCTGTCAGCTTAATGAAAAAGCATACAAGGCCAATTAACGGCGAAAGCTTGGACGTACCAGGTGAATCTGTGGGCATTTCTTTTTCGCGTCGTCGATAAAGTCCCCTGAGCAGCTTTTTTTCGGTTAGAGTTTGTTCGCAGCCTGTTAGAATACATTCAGCATTCAGCACCCCACCTCGCTCAACGCCGAATTTGCGCGCGTCGTAGTTGACGGCCAGCAGACTCCCCCACTGCTGCACTGCAACAGGTTGGCCATCCGGTATGTGGAGACGCCGCTGCTCCACCTGCGCGTAGAAGCAGTCGAGGTCCAGGTGGATGATCACCCGAGACGTCGAGCTGTTGAGCATGCTAGTGAAGGTTTACTAAGGGTCCGTATTACTTTATAGAGGGTGTCCTCAGCCATTATTGTTGGAAAATCCACAAGAAGATGCAAAAATTGTCGACTCGCGTTAGAACTTCGCTATGACGACGCCACGACAATAGGCTACAGCACCGATAACTCTGGTTTAACCTTTTAAAGTACCGATTAGCCGATCGCCGCCGCTACGCGGCGGTAGTTTGGGTTATGTCCTACTTGGTAAGGCCTTTTTTGCCTCCGCTTCGCTTCGGCGGGACCCTTTTACCAGTACCGGTACATGTGTACTAAAAAATAAGCCTTACAGTGTAAGGCTTATTTTTTTTATGTAAGTTACACGGATTCTTCATTTTCATTAATCGGATCACAATTTGGACAACCAACACGTTGTTTAACAGTATCTACGATTATAGTCAGATAATGTAGTATTGTAGTATGTTGAAAAATATATATATGTTAAATAGTGAGCCATAAGTAAGTTGCGCAATATTTCTACAAAATTCTGAGCCTCCACCATGTTGTTTGCAACGCTATTTCTGGTCAAATGTGATGATATGCAGCTAAGAAATAACTAAGTAGCTGACCAAATACAAAATGAATTCTCTGTTTACTTCTTAGGTGTACGTACCCCCAACTACAATCCTGCTTATATGAACTGTGACACGTCAAAATTCGGGATATCTGGTAAATGGTACCAGGGTCGTCAGAGGTCAACCATTGGCTGATGACATAGTTTTACTTTAGGTGACTGATAGTTTGTTTATTTAACTCAAGCTTAGCCTATGTAATGGGGTACGTAGCCCTAAGTGTACCCTGGTTACATGAAGTGTGACACGTCAAACTTCAGGATATTTGGTACAAAGTACCAAGGTCTTTTAAAGCCAACCGACATTGCATTTCTATAGGTGACTTATAGTTTGTATTAAACCCAAGCTTTATCTACTTATAAATATACTCAGTATACATTCTACCTTAATTAGGTCACTTCGCTCTCTTTTGAATAAAGAGGTGACCTATGAACTGCCGTTCACTGAGAGTTTGTATACTCTCGGAAGATAATTTTCTCTAGCGCAAGGTGCTGTGTGACCCCGTCACACTTGGTAGCACTCGTAGTCAACCCACGGCACCGCGGGTAGACTATCTGAACCTCTCCGAAGTTCGTTGCCATGAATAGGAACGACTTCTCCCATATGAACGACTCTCAGTTCGAGTCGGTTCGGAAGATGGCAGGCATCTTCGGGATGGAGGCCCTGCAGAGCCTGGTGGTGTCAACACCGGCCGAGCAGCTCGAGCGCGTCAATGCGTTCGACGCGTACGAGCAGGGCCTCATCGCGCATGTGCGGGAGAACCTGCTGGCTCCGGCGGCGGAAGCAAATCCGCCTCACCCGAACCCAATACGGCTGAAGGTTAAGCCGTATGAAGGGAAGGAAGGCGAGAGCCTTCACTTCTGGGTCCGAGAAGTAGAGCTTGCGATGGACGCAGCTCTGATCTCGACCGAGCGACTTCGTGTTGCTTTTGCACTCTCCGACCTTAGCGGTCGTGCTAAGAGTTGGGTGTACACACGGGAAGCAACATCCCCTGGATGTTTCACACTCTGGGCTCAGCTGTGTGAGCAGCTCCGAGCCGCCTTCAAGAAGCGTACAGCCATCGCCAGGCGCGTACGCCGGCCTCAGCGTGGCTTGGGAGGTCCTTGTCGGCTCCCGGTCGAACAAGCCCCAACGGACCAGTTCCCATGAAACTCGGGTCCGCCGAACAGCGTGACATCCGCTGCTTCGGCTGCGGGAAGATGGGCCACTTCAAGCGCGACTGGCCCGCGGAAAGACACCGCAGACGGTCCTTCCCCAAGCCCGTCCTCAAGGGTCGCTGGCAGAAGCCAGGATCCCGGGGACAGGAGAACGCCGAGAACCAGTAGGGGCGGGGCGCCATACTGGGGAAGAACTAAGTCTTCGTGATGGGTGCGCGGGTGGCGCGTACCACGGGGACTTAGCCCCTGAGAGTCTTCGCACTCTCGAATCGGCGAAGAGCAGCGGCGGGTTGCTCGTAGTACACGGATGTGTACGGGGATGCGATCATCCCTTTAGAATCCAGATCGATTCTGGGGCGTCGAAGAATTTCGCAGACCACCAGACGGTTGCTCGTAACAGCAACAAGTTGTCCGAGGCTTTGAGAGAAAGCAAGGGCAACGGGACGGTGTCAGTGCGACTGGCCGACGGGAAGGTCGTCACTGTTCCCAATGTCCAAGTGGATCTGGTCGTCAAGTTTGAAGACTTTGACAGCCTCGAACAGTTCACTGTTCTCGATATGGATCCATATGATATGATCCTGGGCATGCCCTGGCTTGAGAAGCACGAGCCCTGGATCGACTGGCGAGGCAAGGCAATCGATGCCAGCCGCCCTGTGCAGTCCGACAGAGCATTGGTGAGTCATGTTCCCACCTCTGTCAGGACCCGGGGCGCCCGCAAGGGTTGACAGGGTACCAAAGCATCCGGCAGATGCTTGGGAGTCGTCGACGTATATGACGACTCCGAGGATGTTTTGATGGTGGCAGCGCCCAGAAGAGGCGCTGGCCAAGTGGGTAACTTAGGTCTACAGGCGGGTAACTTAGCTCCGCAGACAGCTGCAGCTGTCACGAACACTGAGAGCAGCGTGTTCAGAGTGGGTAACAGAGTTTCACTCACGGTCGCCCAGACCTTAACTGAAGAGGAAGACGTCGGATACGCTTCCTGTGTGGGTATCGCCCAGACCTTAACTGAAGAGGAAGGCGTCGAACACGCTTCCTGTGTAGGTACCATAGTACCACACGAGGCCACGAATGCCTCGGATGTTGTAGCGCCGACATCCCTAGACGTGGGTAGCAAAGCTCCACGTCACGGTCGCCGTCATCAACGACGCCGCCGCCGCCTCAAGTCAGATCCGAACTTCGTTCAGATCGACGTCGCTTCAAGCGTCTCGGGTCCAGGGCCCGGGCTCCTCAGTGCTATCACATCTTTGATGGTGAGACCGGTTTACTCGTCAAGGCATCTGGTGTCCACTTGAAACCGTTGCCAGAGGTTGCAGAGATACTGAACCTCGAGGAAATGACGGTCGAGTCTTTCCTGGCCAACCTCAAGGCTGGAGAGATTGCTGAGATGGTGCTCATGAGACCTGAGACCACTCGGGAGGAGCTGAACTCCTCCTCTGTCTTGGACGAGAACGTCCTGGAAGACCTCAACAAGCAGCGTCAGACGCGCTTGGGTTCTGAGATCCTTGAGAACCCCAATGATCCGGTGTATCCTTTGGTGACGGAGTATGCGGACGTGGTGAACAAACACCCACCGACCCAACTCCCACCGGATCGAGGCGTACGGCATGAGATTGATCTCGTGCCCGGCGCAAAGTATTGTGTCACGAGGCAATGGCCTCTCCCGCGCGAACAGTGCGAGGTCATTGATGCCTTCTTCGCCGCGAAAGCGAAGGCAGGTATGGCGCGGGAGTCAAAAATCCCCGCACTCGACGCCGACTTTCTGCGTTCGAAAGCCGAACGGAAAGTGGCGTCTGGTTCACGCTTATAACAAGCTGGACAACGCAGCGGTGCCGGCCCAAACACCAATCCCACGAAAGGATGTGTTGTTAAACAACATGGCCGGAAGCGTACTGTACAGTGCGCTGGATTTGGTAGACGGATACTACCAGATCCTGATGTGAGAGAGTGACATCCCGCTCACCGCGGTAAGCACTCCAAGCGGCATGCTTTGGGAGTGGCTCGTCATGCCGCAGGGCTTGTCTAACGCCCGGCGACGCTCAATCGCCTGGTGACGCAACTGCTCCGCCCTTTGCGTACCTTCGTACAGGCGTACTTCGACGACATATTCGTCCATAGCCGTGCCGAGGGAGGCAAGACGGCCGTGGAGGGGCATCTAGGACACCACCGTCGAGTGTTGGACGTAATGCGAGCAAACAAGCTCTACGCCAACATCGACAAGTGCGTTTTCGCGTCACCAGAGATTAAAGTTCTCGGTTGCTTCGTAAGAACGTGGGCGTTCGGGCTGACCCAGACAAGATCAAGGTCATAGCTGCATGGCCAACGCCCCGATCCCAAAAGGATCTTTGAAAGTGGTTGGGCTTGGCCAACTACCTTCACAAGTACAGCCCAGGGTACGCGGGCTTCGCTAAGCCCTTGTCGGGCCTCCTTCAGAAGGACGTCGACTGGCGCTGGGAGCAAGAGCACCATGATGCTTTTGACAGCATCAAGGCCAGTCTCCAAGAGACCCCTGTCCTGGCCCTGTCGGACGAGACGAAGCCGTTTAGCGTCGTCTGCGATGCCTCCGATTACGCCATCGGGTGTGCATTGCTGCAGACCGACACGGTTGGACATGAACGAGTCATCTCGTTCCAGTCCAGGCAGCTCAAAGCCGCCGAACGGAACTACCCTGTCCACGACAAGGAGCTCATGGCAATGAAATATGCCCTTGTGAAGTTTCGTGTTCACCTTCTGGGCTCCCGGCCCTTCGTGATCTACACAGACCACGCGTCCTTGAGAACGGCGACTAACTCGCCTCACTTCTCCCAAAGAATGGCGAGGTGGCCGTCCTTCTTCGTGGAGTACAGCTTCCGCGTCGAATACAAGCCGGGCAAGCTCAACGTGCTTGCGGACGCCCTCTCTCGGCGTCCGGACAATGAGTTGGCCCACATCACACGGGTAACAACGGATCTATATGACGGAAACGCATAGCGTATCGGGACGATGAGGCTGTCGCGCCTATCGTCAAGTTCCTCGCGGCAGGAACGAGCGCGAAGTCCGACTGACTCTTGTCGCGACAGCGCTCACGGCTCCACCGATATGAGTTGAAGGATGGCCTCCTCTATTACCGGGTGGAGCCCAATGAACCTCCTCGGGTGGTCGTACCCAACGACGAGGATCTGAAGTTCGATATCCTCGCGGAGGCGCACGACGCGCCCTCCAGCGGCCATTTGGGCCGCGAGAAGACCTTTCTGTCTGTCTCTCAGGCCTTC